TTTTATTTAAAACAAAACAAAAGCAAGGATTTTTATGTGGGGCTTAGAGGGGATTGTTGGCTTTAAAAGCTTTTTTCTTATAGCAAAACTCTACCAGGCTGTGATACCTCTCCCCATGAGCAGCTCTGTTCCTAGCTTCCATCTCTGTGTAGCAGCTATGCAGTTTTTTTATTGTACAGCAAAACAATTGCCTGCAAGTGTCCATATTCCATTAAGCATATGGAAAAGTATTCAGCCTTTTGTTTTCTACTGAATGAATATATTTGGCATGTAAGTATTAATTTAGACTAGTCATGGGACATTAGTACTGTTTAATTTTCCATGTTTTTCTGGGTTTTATTTAAATGATGGAGATTATTTCAGAAATGTGCAACTTCTTTAACTGTTGCATTCATTGCTGGGTGCCTCTTGCAGAGGCTCCAGACCTACATGCAGCAGCAGGGAGATGGTGCTGCATCTCCACCACAAAAGATTTTGGGATTGCTGGTGCATGACCGCAGGGGGAGAGCAGGATGAGAAAAAGTCACCCCCAGGCCCTGTTTATAGCAGCCAGCACTGGTTTTTCCAGTCCCTGAGGGGTTTCCCTTCCCGGGAGCCTAGCCCAGCTCCTCAGAGATGATGCTGCTCCTCTGCCATGGGACCACAAGGATCTTTTCCCAGCACTGTGTCCAGCTGTGATGCAGCAAACGCAGCACACACACATCTCCTGTGAGCAGTGGCACTGGGGGCAAATACCTGCCAGGCTCCGAGGCACACGCAGGGACACGCTGGCCCACCTCACTGAAAACTACGGGCTGAATTTTTTTGCCTTGCTTTCCAAAGAACAACTACCAGGTCCTTCCCCCAGCCTTTGGGATGAGACTGTGGAGCTTCGGGCAAGCTGGCACTCCTTTCAGCAAAACCCAGGCGGCAGAAAGTTAAGCAGATCTCTTTTCCCCGCTGAAGGACTGTCAAGGAGTGACGAGCCCCTGGGAAACCACTGAAAATCTCCACCGGCAGTGTGTGTCACATCTCGGATGCTGGTAGCTCTCCTTGTGCTGGTCGTGCTCCTCCTCTGCTGCATGTACCTGCTGCCCCACGGTCCCACTCTGCAGGCAGCTGGAGCCAACTAAATAGCGCAAGGATTTCTGCTTTCCGAGGACGGTTATCCACTGCACCAGTAAAGACCTGCTCTGTAAAGCCTTCAGCAGCGTGCATGCCCCCAGCATCACCGTGAGGCCCCGCAGCCCTTAGATGGGGTCAGGTAATGTATCTCCCACCTCAGTATCTCCCTCTGTTAGAGAGTGGGGAAGGGAGAACCTCTCCTGGGTGGGGGAGGAAATGAATCTGGGCTTGTGTGCTTCGTTAGGGATGCAAATTGCTCTACAAGTCTTGAGCGTTAATTATAGAGCCCGGGCTTCTCGACAGAGCTGCGGGGAAAACAGGCCCCTGGCTCCCATTAAATTTAATGGCGTTTGGACACCCAATTCCCTTAGCCTATTTGAAAACCAGAATCTCAGTTTCTTCAGAAATATATGTGGTCAGGTGAAATCTCTCGTCCCACTGCAGACAGCGAGATTTTTACAGTGTTGGCAGAGATCTCCCCCAGGCACTGGTATGTTTTCCTCGTGCCATCCGTGGGATCCAGGGAGGGAGCAGGGGATGGTGTACAGGTAGCGGAGGTCTGGGCAGGGAGCTCTGTGGGCACACCAAGTAACCCAGCTCTGGCACCGTGGCACCATTGCACGGGCTGGTTCACCACACCAAGCTGGCGATTGTCCTGCTGCAGGGTTCGGGGCATGGGGATGGGGAGCCCCGCTTGCCCGGGAGGTGAGCTGGGTGTGGGGGCAGAACTGCCTTCCCCCAGCATCACTTCATGTCTCCCCCATTTAAGCCACTGCCTCTAAAAAGCAGCAGCTAGTTGTTGTCCCTTTGCCAGTCTAGGAGCAGACCTGTGAGGCTATGGCTGCCTCTCGCTGTGTATTTGCAGAGTGCCAATGCGATGGCACGAGCTGGGGCTTGGGGATTAGATAAGAAATAACGCCAGTGGCGCAACTGGAAAAAAAGGGGAAAAATCAAACTTTTGGGGAGTTAGGAGCAGAGGATCCCTCTGGCCAAGTGAGCCGTTCCTGGTAGGCAGCTACTGGAAGCCACATTATTTTGGGACATGCTGCGCTGTGGGATGGTGCTTTGCTAGAATTGTAGGTGTACAACGGTGAGAGGTGATCCCTGCCTCGGAGGGCTTACAGGAGCCAGACCCGGCTGAGAGTACGGCTGTCCTAGTCCACAGATGGAGAGATGTGGCAAGGAGAGGCTTTAAGCAGAGCAGTAAGGAGAAGCCTGCTCTCCAACCCGGTCTTTACGCACACGGTCAGCCTCATGTTGAAACACCGCCCGGGTCTCCAGCTGCAAGCATTTTGGGTGAATTCTTGATCTTTTTCCCAGTGTTACCTTTTTGGCCAGGGTGGAGTTTTCCTTTTCTGAGGGACTTCAGCATTTCTGCCCAATTTAGCACAGAGAAAATGAACAGCAAACCCTTCATATTGTTATATACATTTTAGATGTCGGCTTCACAGATTGATCAGCAGAGGCTCCGAAGCCTCGTAAACCTGGTAATACATAGTTTCAAGCCTGCATCAAAGAAGTTCACAACCCTTTTGGGAGAAGCTGTGAGTACTGATGAAAGAGGGAACTTATTGTATATGTAAGAAAACTTCTTTCATGGCTTATGTATTAAGGCAGGCTCTGTGGCCCAGGGAAGATTGGGGCTGCTTTTAATTTACATCCCCCCTCACTTATATTAAGTCTTCGTCAGAAGAAAAATTAGTCAGATGTTTTCTTAATGACATCATTTTTTTTAATCCTGTTTCATTTTTTCCAGATGAGGCGGTGGAGATTATTAGAAATGAATTGAAACTAAATCTGGAACAGAGACTTTGATTCACTTCTCCCTCCTCCCCAGTAGAAATAAATTGGTCGGCTCCGTGCTCGGCCGTCTTTATTAGCAGCCTCGACAGAAACCAGCCCCAGCAGCCTCGGCTGCAGCTTTCCTGAGCTCGCCGCCGCTGCGGCTGATGTCATGGCGAGAGGCACCGGAGAGTGACTCGGAGAGGGACTTTGGTCGCCTCGTAATTTTGGTAACAAAATGCCATAGCAATGCAGGTGGGGAGGTTATGAGGTCTGAAATAGCCATGCCATCATACGTTTGTCTTTCAGGGCTGTAGAAGAAAACAGGCTCAATGCTGGTGGGTGTTCCTCTAGCAAAACCCCGGCCTCAGTCCGACGAGCATGTGTGTGTGTTGGTGGCAGTGCATCTCCACAAGTCCTTTATATCTGATAGGTTTTCACTGCCTTGTATTTCACACCAGTGAGCTACAGTGTGTATCGCTACAGGAAAGTACTTTGAACTATAAATATTTTAAAAGGCATTTAATTTACTACCCATCAGAAGAAAGTGTTCAAAAAGCCACAAGGTTTACTAATTTATCAGAAAGACAGAGAAACACACAGAAGATCAAACAAAGACAAACATGCTCATAAACTGCTGAATAAGTCTGCAAAGCTTATATTATATTTCTGTGTGGTTTTGGTGATACGCAAGTATTACAAATAAATTAAAATGCACCTGAACTGTTGATAAAGCAGGGTGGGACAGAGATCCTGAGATGCAGGCAGCGTGTCTAAACTGCTCAGACCCTCGTGTTTGTGGTTGTGTGTGCATGGAGAGATGGATCTTACGTGCACTTGCTAATGGCATATTTGGATATCCTTAGGGAATGACCTTTGTAATACCGTCCCTTAGCTCAGCCCACGTCCCAGATCCCTGACCTCTGAAACCCCGAATCCCCGTGGTCTCCTGTGCCTGGGGTGCAGCCCCCTGGGGTGCACATCCATTTCCCTCAGCTTTGCCAAAGCAGCCAGCCAGGGACAAACGCCGTCCCTGCCGCAACCTGTGTCTCCACACCAGCTCTGCTTCCAGCAGTCTGTGAGTACAGAGAGAGCTAATGCAAAGCAGATTTTGCTCTTTCGTTTTGCCTAATGACAGCTCTGCCTCTTTTGGTGTCTAGTTCAGATTTTCTGCTTATCAGGTCAGGGTGTGTAACTTTTTCTCCCCTCCTTGCACCGTCTGCGGTTTGTCTAAGAGGCTGGAGGGTACATTTGGAGATGTGTCTGGGAAATGTCCACACACTTTCTCTTCCATCTTTGCTCACCCTGAGAAAACTGCTTGAGTGCTGAAACATGCCTGTGACTTTTTTTTTTTGGTTACCTGCTGAATCCCTCAGCATTTACTGACTTCTTTCTCAGGTAACACTTGGCCTGAGGAAGATCTGAGGGATTTAACAGAGGTGGCCCCCAGAAAGCATGCAATAAAACCTCTCCTGAACTTTTGCCCTCTGAACCATGCCGCCGACCTGTCAAGGAGGTTTGTGCAAGCCGTGATGGACGCCGGCAGGGAGGGCTGCTCCGCCAGCGCTGGCCGAGCCGCGCACGCGAGGCAGAACAAACCACGTTGCCTCCAAATCATATAAGTACTCCTTGTGCCTTTTGCATCCTTTCATAGGCAGCCCTGTCCAGGGCTTCGTCTGCACGTGGCAGCACTAAACATCTGGATACCCAGGGGCAGCGAGGAGCTTGCAAACCCTGGGTTCACCTCAAATGTCTTTGTGTAGCCAGCCTCCCCGTGCAAGGAGACGGGGTGAGATCTCTAGCATGGGGCGTGCTCCCCACAGCCTGCATGTGCAGGTGGTACCCAAAGCAGCTCATGCCCTTTTTCAAGGCAGCCACGCTGGGGTGAACCACCTTGCACAAATAGATGTTTAGCGCAATGTGGGTGCGGGTCTGCAGGAAGCTTGCACTGGCTTCAGGCCCTGCGTATGCCAAGAGGGGTGTTTTTTCCCACCATGTCCTCAACCTCCTCCCTCATGGGTGAAGGGTGTGGAGTGGAAGGGAGAAGGGCAGCAGGCGGCCGTGCCTGCTCTGGAGAGGCTGAGAGTGATGGCGTGTCTCTGTTTCCTTCCCAGGCCTCCTCCCCTGAGCGGCAGCCCCGTCATCTCCGACATCTCCCTCATCCGCCTGTCTCCGCACCCCGCCGGGCCCGGCGAGTCACCCTTCAGCCCGCCGCACCCCTACGTGGCACCCCACATGGAGCACTACCTCCGCTCCGTTCACGGCAGCCCCACGCTCTCGGTCATCGCCGCTGCCAGGGGCCTCAGCCCCGCCGACGGTAAGACGCTCTGCTACTGGTACTGCAGCGATTTTGTAGCTCACCAGCACTGAAATTCCCTAAAACCCGGAGATTTACAGCTGCAAAGGCTCCGCAGCTGCTCTCTGAAGTGGGAGAGCTGTCTCTTTTTCTCCCCCCTCTCCCCCCCCCCAACTACACATTTGTTTTGCATCATTGCACTGAGAAAGCAGAGCGTGAGAATAGCTGTTACCGCTGGATCATATTATAAATATTTTGCTTAAAGTATGTTCCTTTCTGCAGCGCTCTCAGCTCTCTTATGAGCTTCCCCGCTCTTATGCCTCTACCGGGAGCCCTGCTTCCCCCAAAGAGGGTCACAGTCACTCTGGCTGCCTGGCCTGGCTGGGACTGATGTTGCAGAGATGAGGCAACGCTGGCTGGGTTATCCCCTGTTGGCTTTGTGTCTCGGGGCAGGATGGCTCCCGGGTGAAGGAGAGGGGCCATACTTTCTTCCTCCTTACTCCTGAGCTGCCCCGCAGCAGCTTTTGGGAGAAGGCAAGGGTGTGCGGGGAGCTGGCGCTGGGTGCACGTGCGGGGTAGTGATGCTCCCCGAGCCCCAGCAGACCCCGTGTCGGGTAGCTGGGGACAAAAACGGCCAGGCAGGGAAAGGGGAAAAAGCATGACTCTACTTTCACTCGGGGAGGTGCAAGTCATGACTTATTTCATGAGAAGTGCTTCATTACAGGATTGCAGACAGCTGGCTCAATGCCCAGGGAGCAGCCAGGGTTTGGGTACCCGGTCTCTGCACACCCGGCAAACCCCAGTATCTCTCGGCTCCCGAGCTGCTGCGGGGGGCAAGCGTCCCTTCTCCGCTGCAAAGCAAAGTGCGCCAGTGAGCGACAAGGCCCCCAGCTTAGTATCGGGCAGCATAAAACCATCTTCTATGGCTAAAAAAAACCATTGCTAGGGTGATGGGGAGATGCATGCATCTTCTTCCCTCCCCCAAAACGTCATCCAAACTCCCAGCCGCCCGCCACGGAGAGGTCTAATGGCTGACGTGCGTGTACTCTGCCCCATCCTCCCCTTCCAAAGCCAGTTTTGTTATTTGCTATGAAAAAAAGGCATTGTGTTTTGGGTTGCTTTTCTTCTCCTTGTATTCTTTTTTTTCTTTTTTAAGGCGGTGGTAAATAAGTTAATGGGGCAAGTGGGTGGGGAGGCAGGTTTGAAAAATTACAGCTGGGAGAAAGTGAGCATAATTGGCTTTGGCAGCCAAAATGGTTTTATGCTGCCAGATACTAAACCTAGCTCTATGCATTAGACCTTGGCTTTAATTTCCTTGCGCTGCTATCGGGAACTGGGCTGCATTTGTCTTTCCTTCCTAATAGGCAGGGATGTTAATGCTGACAGGGTTACTGCTGCTGGCGGGTTGGGCCCTCTCCCCCCTCCCCGGGGTGCCGGCTGCGTCCGAACGGGAGGATTATTAGAAGGGGGAACGAGAGATTGTTTATAAATTTGCGGAAATGGAGGAATGCAGAGGCCCCAGCTTAGTTTCTTTTGTCCGCAGAAGCACGCCCAAGTACACGTCACGAGAGCCCTACGCAGAGCCGTGCGGCTGGGGCTGGCGGGGGGCGCGGGGGGGAGACGGGGCCGCCAACGTCAGCATTATTTACCGCCTTCTCCCCATGTTTTCCCCCTCGCCTGTGGCTCCGGCAGTGGCTCACGAGCAACTGAAAGAGCGAGGTCTCTTTGGGCTGCCCCCACCTCCGCCGGGAGCCAACCCCACTGACTACTACCACCAAATGACGCTGATGGCCGGCCACCCGAACCCCTACGGGGACCTCCTGATGCAGAGTGGGGGAGCAGCCAGCACAGCCCACCTCCACGATTACCTCAGCCCCGTCGATGGTGAGTAGTGGTCCGGGTCCTCTCCGGCGCAGCTGAAATTTTGGGACAGATGGATGGGGCTGACCTCCAGGTGGAGGTTGCTGTACGTGGTCCCTCTGCCCTGCCGAAACCCACCGGTGCTGCACTATAATATTTGGCTTAAAAGGTCACCTTGGTCCATATATATGTGATTAATACACATAATTTGAAATACATACATTGTGGCCTCTTTGGGAGGATGGCATGGCTGCTGCACGGGTAGGAGACAGGCTGGTCCAGCAGGTAGGGCATTGCTGCCATCCCGCTGCCTTGGCCATGGGTGACCATACCGTCCCTGGGGGCGAGCTCCAGCTCCCCATCCCACCCTGTCTACCCCTGGATTTAGCCTTGTTGGTGTCTGGGGTAAAGGCTGGCCATTTCCATGCATAGCCATGCTCGGCATGATGGACTCCTCATTTTGGTTGGGATCTCTTAGGTCCCCAAGGAGAAAAAATATGTTAACGGAGAGCTACGGTGGAGAGGATATGTTAGTACTTCGCAGGAGAAAAAATTGCAAGAATGTGGTATTTATGCTAGGATCAGGCATTATAAGCCCGGAAGGTTCTGGGTCCTGGCTAAATGAAGAAGAAATAAAATTATGTTAGGCGCTGCGGTACTGAGTCACCCCCACAGCCTGACCGCTGCCCTGGTGAGATGGGTAAAATCTATGTGGAAACGTATCTGAGGTCCAAGTGATTTTAGAGCTGTTAGAAATTTCTTTCCTTTCACTTCATGCCACATCTTGTAAAAACTGGGGTTGCACAGATATTACAGAGGGCAGTTTGGGGATTATTTCTGCTGCAGGAAAGAGAAGTCTTGGCTCGACTTTCAGATACCGACTTCTGTTTCCTGGGCTGCCTTCGGATTTGCCTGTGGACCATTATAATTTTTGGAGTGGAGATCTGCGTCATTTCATTACTGCTTCAAAGTTTCTGTTGTTGAGCTTTTAAGATGAAAGACTTTGCGGTCTTGCTGCTTCGTAAAGTGACTGGTTTAGAATGATAAAAGCTGCTCTGGCTCTTCAGTGATAGGAGCTTATAGATATTTCTAATGAAAAAACGATTTCTCGTCTGCAGCTGCTGCGGAAGTTTTACCTGAATAGTCATTTTCTGCTGCCAATTCCTAGATTGATTGGGAACCTGGATCCTAGTCTGAAAAGGAGAGCACATGCTCCTTGGTACCATCCTGCCTCTAACACCCAGAGTATATTCTGAGCTTCTCTGCTACAAAGCAGCTGGTCAGTAAGGCTGCTCTGTCTTCCCTCCAAAGAGTTAATGCCTGTGGTTATAGCAGATGGGTGCAAACCAGCCCTGCCAAGTTCTCCTCAGGCTCATGAACGAGACATCTTCCTCCTTGCCTCCTTATTAGTCCATCTCTGACCAGCGGTGCCTCACTGAAGTGCCAGATAAACAGCCAGTAAGGGAAGCAAGCACAACTGTTTTTCATGCTAGCGCAGGCTGACTCTCAGCACACCAAGACGCCCATCCTCTGGTTTGCTGAATATCAGTCTTTATCTGAAGTCATCTGAGATACTCCCCTTGGCAGAAGACTCTCTTCCTGCTTGCCTTCTCCTGAAAACGGCTCTAGAGTAAATCACGTATCAAAGGTCCCAGTTTCATGCGGCCAAGCTCATAACCATTACTCACTGGAAAGCCAGGGCTCGCCAAGCATTTATTTTGATCTTTCAGTAAAGCTTTGTTCACAAGTAACTGGAAAGCTTTTTCTGGGCCCTCACATGCTCTGAGTGAGATGCAAACTTTCAAACGTCATGAGGATATGACATGAGCCACCAGAAGGCTACTTTTTAAAAATGTGAAAAAGAGCAGCAGCCAGCCTCTGGTCTACGTGTTTGGGTTTATCCATCAGCCAGAGAGAAGAGAGAATTGTGCATTATCAAGGCGGAGGTTAAAATGGATGGCTCTGAAACACTGGCTGAGGAACCAGAGTCTCCCTCTCTTTTTAGAAAGTTATTTCAAAAATTTAAATCAGCGAGGACTAAGTAAATAGTTGACGAGATAATTTAATAAAGCATCCTCTTATGGTGCTTTTCTGAGACAAGAATATCAGTAGCACGCATAAAAACCCAATGAGTCACCGCCTCACAGCATCTTTCATTCAGAGAGCCCTTTTCTTCCCAGAGAGCCCCAGAACATAAGAACTTTACAAGTTTGCTGAAAATGCAGGTAGTTCCTGTCAAACCACACGCAGCACCGTCACACATCTGTGATAACACTGGCACCCGCAAAAGAAAAAGAAGCAGATAAGCGTATATTAAAACTGGCCTATTCAGTGTCACGTTACCTCCAAACATCTGGAGGTCCATGGGAGCCCTAGACGCTGGGTATGGTAGTTCTTCCATAGGCACGTACCTGGGCCCTTTTGGTTGCTGTAATTGCAGTTCTTGGAGAATTTCTCAACGTCTCCGTGTTTGTCGGTGTTTTTTCATCCCATCAGCTGTCTAGGGTCTAGAGCATCAGTGTCAGCTGGAGCTTGTTGGTACCGACCATGTGTCAGGTCTGCTGAATATTTCAATGGTGACTGAGCGAGGGTGCCCCAGAGCTGCATCTCTTTAGCAGGGTTTTCACTGTCCAGCTAGAAGTAGTTAAACTACTAAAGTAGACCCAATTTAAGTTTTATGCACCAGACTGCTGGGGTCTTCAGGCCAGTGCCAGGGGAGACTAAATAACCCTTCAGTTAGCTGTCCTGTTTCATTCTGTCATTCAAACAGGGACTCTAAATCCAAGAGTGGAGTTTGAATCCAGGCTTAAATCCATTTTCTGGAAAGCCTACACTTTCAAATCAAAAGTTAACTGCTTTCCAATGTCACAACATTGCTGGTGGGACACTTTTGAGACTAATTTACAGGATCTGTTCACCAGATCAAAACAATCTTTTGCATTTCTATTCTAGAAGTGGGTGCCACATGGTGGGTTATTCCAGGTGACAGAGTGGTTGCACAAGAGCATCCCTGGGGTGGTAAAGACTGGTGGGAAGCACAGATGAACCTGGAGATGACTACCACTTTCTGAGCATGTTTAGTGCATCCAACGTTCTTTTTTTCCTAAGCACGAGGGCTCCTGTGATTACCCTCAGCCCTTCAGGAGGTGCTATTTTCTCTCAAGAGGAGCATATCCAAACTGACATGATGCTTGTACTGGTCTAGCCCTGTACATCAGAAGATCTCAAAATACTGTACAAAGCAAAGCTGTTTCATCACTGGAGACCCAGAAGAGAAAGGAGATCAAATGATCAGTGAGCAGAGCAGTGGCAGCTCTGGGAACAAGACCCTGATCTTCAGAATAAGGACTCTCATGGCCAGGGTGTGAAGCAGAGATCATCTTTAAATCCATCACTTCTGTTTACACGGTGCCGAAAGTGTGAGTGGGTTGTCCATACTGAGTCAGGGAATGGGGGAAAAAGGTCTTGAGTTCAACTTACGTCCAAGTGGCGCTGCACAGAGGTAGTCACTCAGGTCAGGGGGGCTGCATAGAT